CTATAAAATATTATACTTAGACACTATAGACACCTTTTTATTTCAACTTTAGAATACTCACACTGCTAGTCTAGATGTCCCTTCATTTCTGGATAAAAATGGAGAGTTTTCCTCTAAATACAGTGAGAACAAGAAAGCTGTGTAATAGGAAAACGACATTATAGCAACACAATATTTTATGTTGTTACAAAGTTAATAGTTTTGCTCGTAACTTATTTAAATCACTTATTTAGAAAAAGGGGTCTGTTTAAACTGCACAATTGCTGTGTTTCATGTTCATTGGACCATTTATAAAGTCATAGTTTGATTCATAAAGTCGTCTTCATTTTCCAGAGTTTTCTGGTTTTCATGTATATAAAGTAGTAATCTATGTTTGGGGTGTTTGTTTGTTTAGACCGAGCATAACTCATGAACCTCTGGACCGATTTGCTTCAACGTTTGATTAAGGAATTAGATAGAACTACGTTAAGATTATAAGAAGTTTAAAAATCCTTAGTTGAGTGAATCGAGTTCTATAAAGTAAATTCCTTATAATTCATATCCTGTCTTTTATATAATGATGATAAAATTTAGAGTTTGTGGCAAAGACTCATTCTTTATGATTGGAATCTAATTTTGATTTCTGTTTTCTTGTTAAGAGTGTTAATGGTCTCCAGGTTCAGTGTTCAGTCAAGAGTTTAAACTCAATTCAAACTTTACTTCAATTAAAGTTAGAATCTGATCTTCTTCTCACAATACAGACACACCTTATCCGTCCTTACTCCGGGATCCTCTTCTCACAATCCAGACATACCTTATCCGTCCTTACTCCGGGATCATCTTCTTACAATCCAGACACAGCTAATCCGTCCTTACTCCGGGATCCTCATCTCACAATCCAGACACACCTTATCCGTCCTTACTCCGGGATCCTCTTCTCACAATCCAGACACAGCTAATCCGTCCTTACTCCGGGATCCTCTTCTCACAATCCAGACACACCTTATCCGTCCTTACTCCGGGATCCTCTTCTCACAATCCAGTCACACCTTATACATCCTTACTCCGGGGTCTTCTTCTCACAATCCAGACACACCTTATCCGTCCTTACTCCGGGATCCTAGACACAGCTAATCCGTCCTTACTCCGGGATCCTCTTCTCACAATCCAGTCACACCTTATACATCCTTACTCCGGGGTCTTCTTCTCACAATCCAGACACACCTTATCCGTCCTTACTCCGGGATCCTTTTCTCACAATACAGACACACCTTATACGTACTTACTCCGTGATCTTTTTCTCTCAGGGAATAGGAATAAAGGGAAAGGAAATGGTGCTGGTCCAGCGTGAGAAAGCCAGTCGCACTGCTTTGCAGACAAGTTCGGTAAACCTTACACACACTCTTTTGGTACAGACACACAACATAACTACAGTCAAAGAAATTGCAGAACAATGTTGTCAATTATAATTAAGCTTGAATAACGACTAGTTTAATGTAAACTTTAATTAAATTATATTCTTTGCATGAAAATTTGACTTATAGTGTTGATTAAAATATATATAAATAATATACCACATGTATATTAAACCTATTTTTAAGTAAACAATTAACAATAAACAAATGTACTCTCCTAGACACAAATACCGAGATTCGTATGTACTGTATATACCTACAGTACACGCCTTCGGTTCGGTAAACTTTACCCACACTCTTTTGGTACAGACAGACACACATGACGTGTCCGCCCCCTGTTTTCTCTACACAAATCTTATCCGTCCTTCATTTAAATCTATTCCGTATCTATTACTAAATCTCTAATCAGTCTTAATAGATATCGTCCCCGTCCTTAGTCCTAGATCTTATCTGTCACACTAAAAATGTCTTTGAGGCAAATCCGTCGCAATAAACGCAGTTATAATGAGAAATTCAATTTTCATTTAAAGATCCCATTAGTCTTATTACATAATTCTATTTGTCCTAATTTTAAGATTGATAAAATTGTCTTTATTCTATGATACGTTTTTTCTCTGACTGCAAATATTTCCATTCTTGCTTCATATTGATTATATCGGCCTGTAACAAATCTAGATGCTACTTCTCTAACGATTACTTAACTCAAAGTCTAATGAGATTCTCTCTAACTAAATCTCTAGCCAAAACTCAAGGCTCTGTATACGTCCGTTCTGATCAATTAACGATATTCAACTACTTTATTTATAAACAGGTAAAAATGAACTGACCGGGCTAGCCCGGCTGGGTCAACATACAAATAGTTAAGATAATAATATTATTAATACAGATAATGAATTAGAATTGCACATCATGGTAGATTATACTTCACATCCCCGGAGGGGGGATTGTCGAAGTCTATCGGCTATCCCGATCGACGATACTTCGACAAGTACTGGTTCCCGA